ATGCCTCGTCAAAATAATATGGAATGATGATATTATCTATTGATATTGAAGTTGTATATGATTTTTTCATTTTTTTGGCTCGAGTAGAAGTGATTCATTACTACATTCATTACTACACTACAAACAATACTTTTTCCTGACATGTACAACTTATATTTTTCATCAAATACTGTTTCCGGAGAAACATAGGATTTAGTGAGTTTTTGAATTTTCCGTCTATTACTTCTATCAGGACAATCACGAAATAAATGTTGAGATCTACCGAAATTTTATTATGATGGTTATGGAAGTGGCACAACAAATAGTTTATTTAGCTGTTCAACATTCGAGTTAATAAATTTATGAATACAGTGAGAACTTTTTGTCCAAAATTTACTTAAATTTAAAATTTAAAATAGTTTATAATCCTTAAAACGTCTGTGAAATTACAAATTATTTGTGCTACTTTGTTTTCCTATTCTTCTTCTAAATCATCAGCATTTTATTTTTCTGTAATATTTTTACGACTGTTTTATACAAACTTTTCCGTTTTTCAGCCAAATCGTATGTCGAATATATTATCGTACGACGGGGAAGAACGACAGCTCACGACGTCAACGGTTAATTACAACGTGTAGAACAACGGTTGACAAATTACCCTCTTAGCGCGCGAGTAACTTATAATCCATAAACTCACTGTCAAGCTATAGACCAATAAGCTTACTCCCTATCCTCTCCAAAATTCTAGAACGATTAATGCTCCGCAGAATGAAATTCTACCGGAAAATCATTCCACTCCATCAATTTGATTTTAAACTCTACATGTCACTAACTTCAAAGAATTTCCGAAATAATAATAAAAGGATTTGAAAAAAAAAGAATATACATCCACGATCTTCCTTGGTGTTGCATAGGCCTTTGAGAAGGTCTGGAACCAAGGCCTCCTTCAAAAACTAGCTAAACTAAATCTACCAACCTATCTTTATAATATAATCAGATCATTCATCACAAACCGCTCCTTCAAAGTCCGAATAGGCAGGCCCGTAGCCACGGGGGGGGGCGGGGGGGGGGGTGCGCCCCCCCCCCCCCCCTATACCCAGTCATTGCCCCCCTAAAAATATTAGAAAGATGTTTAGGTAGTTACGTATTTTATTGCTTATAACATTTTCATCGGTAATAGAATAGATCAAAAAAGTTTTTTTAGCCGTATAGTAGTATTTATTTCGGAAATTCCGGGCCATGACGACGATACTGACGTGTCACGACGACTGTTGGCAAATTGATTGCTAACGTTATCGTAATCGTAGCTCAATACTTTCCTATCAATTGACATTTTATTATAGAACACCTAAATATTCTTTCATTTTATCGCCGACTGCAGCAGTACACGTGTGTAAAATATGTTTCATTGTTAATTTATTTTGTAATTCATTGTGTTAATTTAATTAGATGTCAATGTAAATAAATTAAAAATTGCATTAATATTTAATACATTTATATATAATGCCCCCCCAAAAATTTGCTTTGCCCCTCCTGAAAATTTGGTCTGGCTACGGGCCTGCGAATAGGCACTTCTAAAATACACCCAATAAAAGCTCGAATCCCACAAGGATCAGTCCTAGGATCCATACTGTTCAACATTTTCTGTCATGATATCGTAAAGCCACAGGAATGTAATTTAGCAATGTACGCAGATGATACTGCTATCATAACGCAGAATAAAAATCTTGAAACTTCTATCGTAAACCTACAAAACTCGCTAGACCAAATATCAAACTGGTTTGCAAAATGAAAACTAAAATTAAATCCCGCTAAAAGCAAAGCAAAGATCTCCGTCTTAAAATGATATACGAACCCAACCGAGATAAAAATAAATAACCAAACCATAATATGGAACAACAAGAATCAGGCAATCAAATACCTTGGAGTTTTTCTTGATGAAAAATTAACCTGGAAAATACATATTAAAAAGAAACTAAACCAAGCCTACACTAGGATGAGACTACTATATCCCCTAATTAATTATTGCTCTACAGTACAGATCAAATGTTCACTTTTAATATATACATCTATCAAAAGACTGTTAATACCATACGCATGTCCTGTATGGGCTGCTATCTCCCAAACAAAAATGAAAAAATTTCAGACAATACAGAACAAATTCCTTAGGACAGCTCACCATGATTCATGCGCAACAAACAGCTCCATAATTGCACTGGAATTCCCTACCTGGATAAATGGATCCAAGACCAATTCAAAAAATTCCACCAACAACTAAAATCATTCGAAGGAGCCACTCACTTCGAAATCGGAAGACGAACAAAAAAATCCAGACTGAAACTTCGTCTCCTACAGGACATCTTCCTATCTCAAGAATCGACTTCAGGATCATCTGAATCTAAATCCGAACAAACGTAAACACACACTCAATATTCATAACTACAAAAAAAAAAAAAAAAAAAAAATTACAGCTTATATCTATATTTATATTTATTTTATATCCTATATTTCATATCATATACATAGAATATGATAAATAACAAATCTTCAAATTATATACATAAATATTCACAATTTAAAACTTTATCTTTATTTATTATTTGTTAAAAACCTTGTAAAAACAAAAAATTTGTTGAAACAGTAAAAATTAAAAAATAAAAAAATAAATAAAAACTTATAATCCGAAAAATATCAAGTACGACATGCGTTCCATCTCCGCTTATCGTTCGGACCACCATTGTTCAACGCTGTGGTCCAATAATACGATAATATCATATATTATATGATATACAAATACATTTAATTTACTATATTCTATACTTGAATAATAAACATCATTGTGTTGCCCATTTAACAACTATATACATTACGAGATTGTCGAGCCCTTGGAGTCCCGTAAAGAGGACTATAAATATTAATCAGAAAACTTAAGAGTATCTAGTATAGAAATAGTGCAGCCAGCTGTATTGTAGGGATTCTACTCTATTGGTGGACATTCGCTATTCTCAATGATATTTATATATTGCATTAAATATTGGTTAGATTCCACACTTCTTGAATTCAGTGATCCTTTTTGTTCTTAAGCATACAAACAAATCATCGTTACAATTTCCTTACCTTTATTACCAACTGAAATTTGACAATAATAACAATTAAATCATCACATTTTTAATAACCAATACCATGCATGATAATTATTAGGGACGCAACTCGAAACAAATTAAAATTATGTCATTGAAAAGTTAAAAAGTTTTAGAATAATACCTATAAATTTGTATAAGATCATTTTTGATCACTTTTTATAAAGCTTTTAATGATGATGTATAGTACAACATAATATATAATACATTATATACAGTATATGTTAATTAGAAAAATATGAACGAATTTAAATTAAAACTTACCATTTTAATTTAAGTTAATTTTGATATAATAATTAAATGTATTAAGCTTTTAAGAAACGTAAAGACACTTTAAACATAATTAGGGCCAACAGTCATCCTGCCTTCGCCACCATTTCGAAGTATCTAATAAGCACTAGCGCGGAATTTCATACCTTCCGTCCCCATTACATGCGTCACTTTAAGGTTGTAATTCGCAATTTACATCATACCACTATTGTATCCGATATCTCCGATTCCCTGGCGGAGCATGGACACTCTGTGGTACGCGTGGTGAATACAAGAAAGAATCAACGTCCATTACCTATTTTCCACGTCGAATTGGCACTTAAGAATAATAACCACAATATCTTCAACATATTAACATTGCTCCATTCCATTGTAGTCATCGAAAAACCACACTCTAAAATTAATGACCCACCTCAGTGTTTTAAATGTCAAGCATAAGGTCATACCCGCAACTACTGTTGTCGCTCCCTTAGGTGCGTCAAATGTGGTGAGAACCATCTTACTGCGAACTGTATCAAAGACCGGTCACTCCCGGCTAAATGCGCTTTGTGTTCTAGTGATCACACAGCCTCATACAAAGGATGCCCAATTCGCAAGAAATTGGTACTATCAAATAAAAAAAAAACAAAAATGCCAGATACTCAAAGGCAAGAAGCTCGTACTCGTCATCATGGCAACAATACCAAAGTGGGTCCAACGTATGCCAACATATCTTCAGAGCAACCAACACACACTATTTCTGATACTATATCTACATTTCTGATTGAAATAAAAATCTTATTAAACCCTCTACTTTCCCTTCTCACCGTCCTAATAAACAAACTCACAACGAATTCCCCATAAATTATCACAACCAATTACCAACAATTGCATTCAACCTATTTATGTAATCTATACGCCCTTATCTTTATATTAACCGTATTAATATTATTATATTTTTGGTTATTTTTTTTTTTCTATTCTGTATACCTATTCAATATTATGATACAATATCTTATTGTTAATTTAATTTAATTACGTTGTAGATAATATAATTGTTGAGCTGTAATAGTTAATACTAAAAGCTAAATAAAAAAAAAAAAAAAAAAAAAGTAGTTCAACTTAAGCAACTTTCTGTGCATGTCCACCGTATGAATCTTCTTTTGTAGGTACATAACAGAAATGGGCATGATTCGAAAAAGATTATATTCGATTAATTGTTTGATTTATTTGTCATTTGTTTATTTGTATTCACCAATTTTAATAGACTGTTTAAAATATTATTCTGGATTCGTAAAATAATCAAATTTTTCATGCTTTCATATTTTATTTATATTTTGATTTTTTTTTTTCTAATTCTGATTCTTACAACAACGTTATTACAATAAATACCGATGAACTATGCGAATTTATGGGAGCTCGAAATTTCAATAGACAAAATCATTGACCGTTCGATAATGCATTAAAATTAAATATTATAACTAAAGGTCGTATATCACCGTGGTGCAGTCACATGTGTAACCCGGATAATGGTTTATTAGTTCTTGATCGATATTCACGATCACTCGTTTTTGTATTATGATTTATAATATCGTAATAAATGAGGTGCAAAAGCAGTAAAAAAACAATTACCTGGAACTTTGTAAATCTTGAGGACCTGTAATTTTATGCGCTGGTTGAGTTAGAATTTTTAACTGATAAAAAACTGATTTATTACAACGGCAGAAATATCGTTTTCCTTAAAAAATAAAATTAATTTACTCACCCCGTTTAACTGCAGTGATAATGAAAACAAAAACACGCTCGAACAAACCTGAAAACACTCTTATTGTGATACTGCGCACTGTATTGTATTACGGTCAGAGACAGCTCTCTAAATGCTAATGTTCAATTTTGTTTTTCCGTGAGAATCACTCGTTTTCAGTTCTACTTTAGGAATGGCGGTATTCAATAACAATAATCCGGAACGCGTAATGATATCATTTACAAATATGTCGTCCAATTAAAATATTATTATTATATTATCTAACCTTACACGGAGGCCATCTATAAAATACGGATGAAAAATAAAATAGGACACTTATTACAATACATATTACATTTGAATGTTTGAATATTATGTACTCGGTCTACCGAGTTATAGAAACGTCATATTATTATATTTTCAAGTTCCCGTTCAATTTAAACACAATTCCAGTGCGTTTGAAAAACACAGAGGAAAGTATGTACTAAGACATTCACTGTGGTTCTTGACAAAACTTTGACCGTAAGCCGAGCTCCACTCAAAGTAGTTTTACAAACACGACTGTTGTCACATTCACGTACACATTTGAAATAACAGTACATTATTATATCTACTCGCATGTTCTTATGATTCTTATTCATTTTATTCTTAACGCGGAAAGAGACGATAGTTTCCACGACGTAGGAATTATAAAATTATATAAAATATAATTTTAAAATTGCTTTATCAGTGGATTCTAATTATTTCAAACTTTTCAAACGCAATTTTTTAAATTTAAACTATTCCGTAAGTACTGGTCCAAATTTTGAATACGTTCAGATTTTATTTCAAACATTCCAGAAAAATTAACCGGATAACTATCTCAGTGAATAATTCTTCCATTTGAAAAGCAAAAGTAGATAAAGCCATAGGATACTTCTCATGAGGTAAAAAAAAATCTTTGTATCGGGAAGTATAGTATTTTAGAACAAATAAACATAGTATATTCAAAAGGTTCCGGACCGGTAATTTTTCATTATCTATATATAGCGTTATTTATAATACACTGATGGAACTACATTTTATAATACGCATCAATAAGTATTTTTAAGGACCAGTAACAATAAATTGGTTCAGTAATCAACTGCACCGATTTGAAGTGTTCAAATTTATAATATTGTGTCACAACTTTTACAATGGAACAAATAAGTGTACTTAAATTTGGTTTTAAATTAAATAAAAGTGGTAACCAAAAATTTTAAATGACGAATGTTGCATATAGTGATGTTTGTCGTTAGTAAGATTTTTTAACGATATTCGCGGTTGGTTCAAAAACGGTCGTAAGTCACTGGAAGGTGATCCAAGAGTAAAGTGGCAACCGACTTCCAATAGTGATAAAAATGTGGAACTCGTACGCTCTGTTCTGTCTCATAATCGACGAATATCAATTAAAATGTTATCAGAACAATTGTAAATCAGTCAGAGAAGCGTCCATATTATTTTACACAAAGTTATTTTGTATAAGAATTAAGGTAGGTAGTAAAAGAAAAATGTGTGCGAAGTTTGTTCCACACTCGCTAATGATACCACAAAGAGAACGGGTTTTTGCTTCATGACAATGCTCTAGCACATTCTTCGATATTGGTAACACAATTTTTGGCTAAAAAATCCATAATTGTTATTAACCACCCAACGCACTCACCAAATCTGACCTCAGCTAACTATTTTCTATTTCCTAAACTCAAAACTACCATGAAAGGAGTGTTTTAACCATGTGGAGGTTATCGAGCAAAATGTGACAAGACTATTACGAAGCATTCCAGAAAACGGTATCTTTAGAGTCTTCCAGCAATTGTACGAGAGTTTTAAATGTGTGTATTGTAAGGTCAGGGGACTGTATTGAAAATTATAGAAAACTGTTTACATTAATTCGTTTGTTGTATTTTTTTTTTCTAAATCAGTCCAGGAACTTTTTAAATATACTATGTATATTTTCTAGAATCCATAATTTAAGTATAAAAAAGGGTTAAATATTCTTCACACTGTATATACGTGTTTGCTTAGAGATTTAATTACACTATTATATTTTATAAACTTATTGTTTGCGTTTATTCAAAATGCTTACTTGCATAAAAAAGTACAAGTCAATATAATTATAATATTAAATATGTGAGAGAGAGAATATTGTTTTTGTTCTTTTTTTATCATAGAAAGATAACAAAAAATTGTTAATATTACTTATTCACTCTTAACGATGCATAAGAACAATAAAAATAAATTAATGATTGAATTATTGAATTATTAATTTTAAACGTTTTTCATCTTAAAAGTGAAGAAAAAAAACAATATTTTCAATATTACGAAATAAGATGGTAAAAATAGTAAAACATTATAACTGAGTTACACTCTTAATTTTATATCTGCGTACACTATACATACATTCTCCATTTTACAGTTTTATATTGATTTATTTCATTACATTTATAGTGTCTCAAAGAAAGTCATCATTAGCACCGGCCTAGAGTAAATGAAAAATGTATGACTTAGATAAAAAAATAAAAACTATATTTTATTTTCTCTGCTTCTAATGTAGTTTTATAACTTTTCTGAAATAAAACGTAGTGTATGATAAATGCAATATTTTATTTCAAGATATATAATAAATGATTAAGACGGTTGGGTATTACACGAAACTAAATTCAAACTGACAACTATACTACAATATTACAGGCACTTCAAAGGCCGGATTGTTGTTAAACAAATACAATGAAAGAAAAATGTACAGCTACGCACACATGAATGGATGAATTTCAAACGATGAACTCGACGTAACGTGCATAGAAGTTCTGAAAATAAAATAACAATGTTCCGATAAAATTCAATAAAATATGAAATTTTAGATGTGGCTGTAAAATATGGGTAGATACGTCTTATTATATTAGTCGTATTGACCGCAATAACCAATTGTTCAGGTATATATTTTTATACACATTATATTTATTTAATACTAAATGTTCAAAAATAATAATATCAGAAAAATTTAATACATTTTTAAATAAATTAAAACTTCGATTTGATTTTATTTTTTTATTTATTTTATTTTTATTTTATTTCTCGTATGATAATTATTAGTATTTATGTATACAATATTTCGGCATCGGAGTTTTTGCCCAACGCAATAAGCAAAAAATACAATTTTTTTTTTTTTAATAGATTTTGTGTTACAATTAATTTCGACAGTTAGGGAAAAATACAATTAATCCGTTCACAAACATCCAAACATTTGAACAACGTGCTATCAATGCTAGCTAAGCGAATTGAAACGGCATAAAGATCAACTTGTATCAATGGGGACGGACTCGACGATTGATCGTAACTAAAATAATATAATACATTTTTATATATAATACCTACAGTAATACTGATTAAAAATAGATTAAAAAAGATGAATTTATTTTTTCATAGTAAATTATTATTCATATGTAACTCGATATTTTATTAATTTTTTATTATAATCTTAGTGTTATCAGACAAATATCTTATATAATATCATCTAATATATTAAATATATTCCAAAAATTGTGTACACATATTCCATGGTCGCGAGATAAAAAGAACCTGAAATCGTATTGACGTTACTTATTTCAAGTATGATTTATCCATTCGTCTATTTATCCGACTATTTCGTCGTCCACGTCACGTTTTCATTGGGCCGAATGATACGCCTTATCCTGTCAATCGTTTTGAACAGGGGCTGGCAAGTAATTTCCACTGGAGTCCGGAAGAATAATAAATAAAAGAGTTTCACAGAAAAAAGACAAATGTAATCCGAGTCAAATAGGTCCTAGACCATGTATATTTACACAAGTGATTACTTAAGTTTTGGACCTTGGATGAAATTCTGCAGCTAAATTATTAAAATCGGTTTGCTTTTCACCGTCATTCCTCTGAAATTTGTTATAAATCAAGAAATTGCCGTTAAAATACTACAAGAAAAAGCATATTTAATTATATTGATTACACATTTAATTAATTTAAAATACATTTTAAACTGTGTTAAAAATGGCCAGAAAGCCCCGAGTTTTTATAGGGCTTACTACTCTAATAGGAAACTGTTACCCTAGTCTCTTCTTCTAAAATCCTTTCTTGATTTTGGTGGAATTACCTGTCCAGCGGACGCGATTCGCATAGCAAAATCGAGGTACTATCCATTCGTCACGCTAGGAAACAACCGAATAATCGGAATACTGTTGTTACAGACCGTTGGTCTGTAACTGAAACAGTTTTCACGTACCAGGATACACACGGTTTAGTTGAAATCGGATGACGATTAAAAATTATAGGACTGGGCAACTGAAATGTATTATAGAGTGCCAATTTTTAAAAATGTAAAGCCATCGCGAATCATAATACGGGGAAATATTTAAGATCTTTATTATTATTTATGTAATATTTAAGTAATATAAATATAAACTCGATATCTGTTTGGAGAAAATTTGGTTCAACAAAACACAATTCAAAATTTCATAGTCCTTCGTGGGATTAGAAATGATCCCTGGTTTTTCCAAATGAAGCGCTGTAGCGTACATACTTCAAAATATCAACAATTCAAAACTACAAGAATCTAATGGTAAACTTCTTCTATCGTTTGTGTAATGAAAACGGTCCCTAAAATTACAGACTAAATGTCAAACTGAAACGTATTTGCTCCTACGATGTTTTAAATTAATTACTTATTTAATTAATTTGTTTACTTATTCGTAATTTATATGTAGTAAAATATAAAAATAAAATTATTATTATTCTTATAATTATGATCTATTGAGATCTTAAAATCTAGTTAGTTATCCACATAACCATTATGCGCTGTGTGATGTACTAACGCTAAAAATTATAAATTTAAACACTTAAGTTAGTTGATTTGAATCTAGAAAACTTATTTAAAAAAAATAATAATAATAATAAAAAAGTACACTATTATTTATGATTACAAATGCATTATTTGAATACTTGTACATTATACTATTTCTGTTTTCTGTCTAAACGGAAATACCACAACATGACACCGAAACCCACATGGCTTACGAACAGACCTGACGATAAGGGGAAGAAAGGGATGATCCCTCCCGGACACGGAATTTTTGAGAGGGGCCGGAAATTAGGGACTACAAATTATTAGAAATTAAATACATGATTAATGATAAAAACTTCATGAACACTACGGAAAAAATTGTAATTAATTTATTTTATAATTATTATCAACTATAGGTAATACGTCCGTGGTCGACCGCTGTCGATTGTTCGTAAAAACATTAATCCTATTTTCGTAAGAATCTATTTCTGTACGATTACATAGTTTTTTTTTTTTTTTGTCGGGAATCGTTTTACAATATGAATAATAATACTAATTGAATTCCGGTAGTATATTTTCCAATTGCAAACTAATCTCATCGGAAATCTGTAGACGGTTACAATGTGATCGACGCCCGTATGGCTATTGTGAATTACGAAACATGTGCGTGGCGTTATAACATCGTGACGGTGGTAGTTCTTAAATTAAACAAACATTTAAAGGGAAGACAACGGTATACGGAGGCATTGCACTGTAATCAACTGTTCGATGGTGCGCAACGGTAGCGCATGAAATACAACAACGGTCGGACGTTCGGGGCACGCGAATAACAATAACTGTATAATTATTGTGCTTTTGGAATGACGCGCGTGAATAGGACCCGGTACATCGTCGGACCGAAGGAATTTCGAACAAAAGTTTTTTCGGGCAAAACTTCGGTACGATTAATATCGTAGCGCACTCGCTCGTAGACAGAAATTTCAATAATTTATCTGTGATACAAAAAGCTTCACGTGCTGCTTCAACATTAGTGTATATGTGCGGACCGTAAAACCCAACGGATATTACGTACGATCGTCCTAGGATCCATTATTTCCGCGGCAATCGCGACCTTGATGTTATTTAAATTTATTATTTGAAAAAAAAACTTTTTTTTATTGTTTTCGACCGCGCGTCAACGCACGGACATCGGGACAATGATTATCGCGTGCTCAGTAACACGTACCAATGGTACATACATATTTTTTTTGTAAATAATTTACGCTGTAATGTTTCGCGTGCATGTGACGTGTACACTATTATTTTATGAATGTTTCGACGTTTGAGGAAATCCGTGTTAAAACGTGTTTCAGCCGTTGGAACATCAACATTTCACGTATCAATAAATCAGTTGGTAGTGTAAAATAATGGTGTATTTCATTGCGCGACTGCATTTACTGAACTGATAAAAAAATACTGCTCACTATGGTAGCGATTCGTTATGCTCTCATCACGTAAGTTTTTCGGCAGCGCGTGCTCATTATGTAACGAAAAAATCAAATTCCACTGAAACACATTCTTTTCTTCCGCACCCCGATCGCCACTTTTTTCCACTTAATTGTTACAATTAATCGTACACCATCCGACATCGTTAGCATAGTTGATTTACGTTTCGTTTTGCACTTTTTGCTTTTCGGACAACGAATTCCACTTAGGTATTTTCAATGACAAACGTATCTAATGTATACGAATATATTATACTCGTGCACCGATCACAACGTATTCCTAAAAAAAAAGTCATCTTTTTAATTAACACTTATTTTCTCGATAAATTAATTGGAACCATAATTAAAAAGTAAACTCGTTTAAACAATTTTATGACACTACACAAATACAAACAATATTTATTTTGTTTTATTTTATTTTTTTAAACAATACATTTTGATTTTTACCTTTTTTCTGTTTTTTCTTATTTTTTTATTTGAAAAATTTATCTGTACGATTTCATGAGCGAAAATCTAATTTCAAACAAGTTGATAAATATTTAAATGCATTTATAAAACATTTCAAGGACTATTCTACACACATGTTCAACATATAATATATATAATTGCTTAAATATTTAAGATTAATATATTCAAAAACTGAAAATTTTGGAAAATAGTCTCACGATATAGGTACACTATTTTTATATAAGTCAGACAATTTTACTAGGAAGTTCTATCTTTCTACGTTTCGAATGTCTTGAAAAGGATATATCATTCGATAGTCCCACTAACACATCCCAAAAATAGGTTTTTTGGTATTTTTAGTACCTTGTTAACATTAATGAAAAATAAACCGTTAATAATTATTGCTAGAGATATTTTATTGTAATGTGTAACATTTTGTCAGGTAATACATTTTTACCCTGATGGAATACCAACCCACGATTATTGACATTAAAAATTGGCTCATCAATTCTGGTCCATCGAAATCTCAAGACGCCAAAATTGTGCAACGGAGCCAGACTTTCCGTGAAAGAACTGATGTCAAATGTAATTGAAGAAACAATAATTAATGGAAAATGTATAGTAGAAAATCCTGTGTTTCAATGATTCCCATTGATTTTCTTTTCACATTCCCAGTGCGTCTTGCTTTCGCAATGACACTCAACTCAAGGGCAGTCACATCGCTGTCTTGGGTATGTCATGCATGGAAATCGGATAAAGAAATAATGCGATGTCGCTTCCTTGTGGGTTAGTTAGTACTTACGTTAGCTTTATTATTGTGACGGGTTGAGTAGGTGTTGTTTAGGCGGACAGTAAAAGAATGATTTGTTAGGTATAATTTTATTAAAAGAAAATAAGGGGCGGGTATGAACTTTTTTATTTTGTAAAATAGTCCATCGTGTCAAATCCGATCAAAGGCTTGGAAGATGTTAAAGAATACTGCTGTATAGAATTGTCTTTTTTTTCCACGGAGCTGGATATGATATAAATTGTTCTATGTAATTGATATATTGTTGTTATTGTATTGTTGAGTGTTTTGATCTGAATCCAAATTGAGTGTGTGGTATTAAGTTTTTTGGGGAAGCTAGTGAAAAGAGCCTTTTTAAAAGGATTTTCTCAAACATTTTAGAAAAGTTTGGTAGAATTTTTATGGGTCTGTATGAGGCAGGATCTTATGGAGGTTTGTTGGTTTAGGGATTAAAATAACGACCGAGTGTTTCCAGGTGCTTGGAAAGTATAATAGTCTGAAAATGACGTTGAATATATGTGATAAAAAAATAATCATTTTGTTAGGTAGATTCTTTGCAATAACATTACTAAGTAGATCATGACCTGGTAATTTTTTAATGGGTAGCTTTATGATAATGTACTCGATTTCTCCAGGAGAGGTGTTTTTAGCTGTAAGTGACGTGGTAAAGGGTAAATTGAGAGAACTATCCACTATTTCTAGTTGTAATACACGTAGCTGTATATCATCAGGAGTAAAACATTTAGATAGGTGTTCAGCAAAATATACATATAATTAAATGTTAATAACAAAATATTTTTTTGTTTACGTTTCAGTATTTCACACGTGATCATACAGGCATTATCGTGCAGACATGATACGCACGCTCGTGTGTGTTTGTGCGTCCAATGTACACTGTGGATCTATGTGGATCTATGTAGATCTATATGAATCTACACTGTGGACCTTATGCACACTGTGCATATTGTGTAACCGTTAACCAATTAACTACCGTACCGACTATTATATTAGATATCGCAGTATCATACGAACACGATTAGCCATGATGTTAATTTCGTAACGATAACGTCCTAATGAGACACAAACGGGTCATTTCGGTATCGTCGTCACATAATTGTTGCTTTTCTTATTAATACTGTCGTCACGTTCAAGTCGATCGTAATGCGCAACGTATTAAAGCATAAGTATTTATTTTATTTTCAGCATGAAAAACACAACAAAAAGTCCTGAAAAGTAACAAAAATGTAAAAATTAATTCAACCACAAGTATATTTTAATGTGATTGCTAAAATGAGAGAAATATTAAATATTAATTAATACTTAGAGTAACGCGAAACATTTGACGACATCCCTCGGTCGATTATCGTGTTCACTCTGTGATGATAACATAAATCTCGTATAAACGATTTGAAAACACTACTTGTCCTACCACGCCGGTAGAAATGATTTCACTGGATAACTCATGATGCGCGGACGCAAGATCAAAACAATTTTTGGAACTTTTGATTTTCTGCGCAACAGACATCGGTCGTTATTTCGTACGACGTGGTACTTTGTTAGTCGCACGCGTGTTGATAATAGCATTGTGTATTCACGTCCATTATCGCGTTGCAATGGGAACTATCTGTAAAACTTTATTAAAAGAAATAAAAATAATAGATCTTCAGTGCTCGTTTCAACGCACCTGCTGCAGCGTAGTACCAACAATACGATAAAATTGTTTTGATTAACATAAAAACAGGGCCAAGATGGAACTACAACCCGAACCACCTAAAGCATAGACGTATAACCTAACGCAATATTATACAAACCTTTTTTGATACACAACCTTCAAAATGATTTATTTCAATGAGGTTAATCCCTACATATAATAATAATAATGATATTATGCAAAGTATATAACTTGATATTAAATTTTTGTCGGCCCCCTAATACGATTTCGTGACTCACACGTTGCGCATCACTGGTCTAATGCAACAGTTATGATTCATACAAAAAGTTGTTCCTACGACAAAACTAATAATCTATACGCTATGGTTATTAAAAAGTTTATCGATAAGGAGAAGTAGAAAAATTAACTTGTGTGATTAAAAATAAAAATAAATTTTCCTTATGGTAATTATATAAGAAAATGCCTATAACGGTTTGGTCTTCAATACAGGATGGATCGATGATTGAAGAATATCGCTACGTCAACTTGCGGTGTCATCTATCATATATCGGAGTCCACATGTTTTCGGCAGCAGTCACTAATTCGTCGTCAATAGTTTGAGTCAACCTGAGAGGTATGTAGTGGGAACGTTATCTATGAACGACCGCATAAAAAGTCTATTTTGTTGTAAACCACGAAATCGCAAAATCGTTACCGCCGATGAGGCGATATAAAAAATATACGTAATTTATTAAAAGTAACTGTTAAAAATGAGTGTGTAGAAGGATCGCTAAATTTGTATAGACTTGTTGAACTTGATATAATGTGATAGTAAATACACTATACCTAACGGTACAATACAAATGTGTCTAATGTATTGCATAGTATTAACTGTGAATATTATTATAATATTTACGCATACGAATCATACTATTATATTTTACCAAACATATGCATCACGGTATACGGAAAATACATGTTTTCCGTTTATGAAAATTTGCACAGTCCAAACCCATTAATAACAAATAAAAATAATGGTTCGAAACTGTATACAGCCAAATAAAATGAAAAACAACGAATTAAAATCATATTAAAAATCTAATTATTTTCTTGTCAACTCAAATGAAGCTCGTTTATCGTTCACCGTGTAAGTACAAACAATTACAAATCGATACTGTGGTATATACATTCCAAATTAAACGCACAATGAACTTCACAAAGAAATATATCAAATTATGATAATGGATTTTGAAACCGACGTAATAATGTCAAATTGAAATGTAATATTATTTAAAAACATATTAAAAATTTCTTTACGAAGGGCGTATTTACAATTGATGTACAGCTTTCATCGAACAGGTTAAAAAATATAGCGTTCTGTATATTTTAAACATAAATCATAAAATTAATATGACTTATCTAAGAACGTATATTGTACGATAAACGGAAAAATCCTGATGAGAATTATAAATAGCTCCATATCACAAACAGTGGTCGCAATATTTAAATAATCAATGCATGCACTAGATATCTTGAACAATTTTGACCGATTGTTATTTCTTAATGTTTTATGAACGAAAAATATATTTTACGCTAATATTGATCATTGTTTGATACCTAATGAATACGATGTCGTACGTTTCATGATTCTTTTTTTGATGTTTTTGTTTAAAAAAATTGTGTGTACTTTGAATTGTATTAAAATCTTAGGTATGTCAAACAGCATTCTTTAACTTTCAAGTGCATATTTATTTTTTATTTTTGAGCATTACGAATAATGCTAATGAACCTTGTAGAAATATACAAAAACATTAATCAATAGAATTTATAAATTAGCAACTATGGCCATTGTAAATGTATTAAATGGTTCCATTTTCCTACAATCGATCGTACGAAAACTGACCGAAAACTTTTTACCACGTGACAGCTTATTGATAATATAATATGAAAACTTTAACCGATATATGTTTTGTAACACGCTAATCGTTGGAACGTTTAGCAAACCAAAACGGAACAAAAAAAAATAATAAAAATTGTTCACATTTAGTAAATAACGGTTTTTAAATAAAATGTTAGTTGTACTCGGAAGAAATAGTGCAGCGAATTGATCGTGTTATTTACTCCGTATATTTTTCCACAACGCTGTTTTTTGTGCGACATTTATAAGAGTACTCTTATATAGATTCTCCATCAATTTAACATCAGACACAGCTGGAAGTGATGAAACTTTATAAAATTTACTCTTTTTGTCAGCACTGCATGCACCAGGGCCTTACTTTTTTACCCGTTTCAAACAAGACACGAACGTATTTAATAAAAAGTGCGTTTCAAATACGTCTAATATTTTTCAACACAAATCGTCAGTCTAACGGCGTTTATATTTGGAATTCACAAATTAAGTTTAAGATAATATCACTTTTATCTCAGACCGAAATTTATTTTAATTGAATTTTAGTTTACATTTACCTATAATAAAATGTTCACAGTTCGTGATTAATGGTGGCATGAAATGTCGAATAAACTTTTCAACTTTTTAAATATTGCAAAGCAAACGAAAATTAATTTCAAACTCGTACACGTTTGTTTGTTTGCTGAATGAACAATACATTACACCACTATTTACCACTTGTATAAAACTCGTAGAGTTTTGAACGTGATAATCCACACTTCCTTGTAATTTTACCGTTCCTGCAATTCAATGATAGTGTTTGAACATTTAAATATTTCACTAAATCAAAACCATTCAACGTGTTCTTATCATACTTGAATGCAATCTTTCAACAATAGGTTCCCGTGACTTCACCAGTTCAGGAACTCCAAAAGTTAACAATAGAAGCCTTTCATATATATTTAAATAAAATGTTTTTAACCCTGAACTAGACCAATATAACTTTAAGGAACTATGACACTCTGTACATAATTTTAATTTTTCCACAGTCCATATACTGTTTTAGAAATTATGATTTTTTTTGTATACCTGGTTAAATCAATATTTATTTTTCAACTAAATGGTACAGTTATGATTATTCGACAAAGTATATTTATTTTATTAACTCATACATAACCAGGTGGTTTTAAAATCGATGTTGGACACTTTATTTAAGATTTTGCGGACTATGAATATAATATAAACGTTTAATTCTTCAAACTGGAAAATGTAGCAGGATTTTTCCAAGCAATAATCTACTCATATGATAATTGTCAATTTAGCCCTGGAACTAAACATATTTATATACTTAAAAATAAATTCTTTTGAATTACATTATAAACATTTTGATATTTTATATCGTTTTATACAAAAAAAAAAAAAAAGGTTGTATTCATTTTACTGCCAATCCGACGTTTCATCGAACACTAAGTAATATTAAATACTCGGGTTTCGTATACGAAGTATCAAATTTTTAAATTAAGAAATTTATGGTGAAATTCATCATAAAGGAGAGTTACATTTGTGACGTTGGTAATATTGAAGTATTATTTTAGAGATAATATTTACTACCTAGGTTGCGTGCTATTTATCAACCATTTGGGAGTCAGTTTGGCCGTAATCACTGAAACGATTGGGAGTCGTTTTCAATTTACACTGGCATGATACAGGAAGGTTCAACAATTTGGTTTAACTACTGAATACAAAAGTAACAGTAGTTTTAGTAAATGCACACTTTCGGTTTATTATTTTGAGAACCCGATCAACCCCTTACGCGGATTAATTCGTAATTAAGATTTATCGGGCAGGATGTTCCCTTTTGATAAAAGAGTGATTAAACTTAGTAATCATTTAGTATATGGCTATACTTCCGAAGACAATGGTTTCAATCCTGAACTAAGGGCACGCAATTCAGCGAATACTCAACAAACTACGACAAATACGTGCGAATCATTTCACTTGTATTTTAATGAAAACTTTTATTCCCACTCTTCTCAACCTCAATACTTAGGGACAGACATTCAAACCAAAACTTATATTAAAACCAGGAGCGGCTCGTCAGGGGAAACTTTGAAACTGTGTCTCTCCTTAAAAAAAAACAGCTGCTCGTAGATAATAACTATTTTAAAATGTATAGAAATATTTTTATTTTTATTGAAAATACTCGTATATTATAGCGTTCTCTACATTTATTATTATAAATTTATGGCCGCAAAATATAAAACCTATACATTTGGATAGAAACACTATTTTAACAATTTAGACGACGGTCGTCGTTTCAGTGAAACTGACGTCCGACAGGTTCAATCGTAACATGTAATGGTTTGGTTTGTTGGACGGAAGGGGCAGGGGAGAATAATCCACGTATTACAAACGCTATTGAAACTGGGTTCAAGACAATAATTTCCATGCCATCGCGCCGTTGTTAGTCGCTGTGCATCGTCATCTACAAATTCGCAGATAAAAAAAAATTTCAGAATTGAATTAGTTTATAAATAAATTTACTGTTAAATTAAGTTGAAAATATTAACTAAATATTAAATTAAGTATTAAGTATAATTAATTTTCCAATAAAAGGGTTTTTCTTGTTCGTTGTTGTACAGAGTTTATGTTAAATAATTTAAGTCTTCCCAGAATATTTACTTCGAGCCGCTACTGATGAAAACCATAACAGCGTAGAAGCATTTTAATCACGAAAAACTAAAACAAAATGAAAATCGTAAAAAGTATGCGAGGTAATTTTAAAAAATATATTTTAAATAATTATAGATAAATTAACTATACTTAGGTAATATTTTATTTTAAAAATTATTGAATAGAAAATTTTAAAAAAAAATTGTAAAAAATTAATTTGGGGACATTTAAAATGTACATCGGGAGAAACGGGAAATGTCTGCAACAGATATATGATATATTATGTCATCTAGTAACGACACAATTTACTAAGTCGCTTGAATTTACTCCGAGAGTACAATTATATTAATAGACGTTTAATATTCACTCTCGAAGGATTCCGATCAATAATTGTAGGTCTAAAACCGCATGACATTTCAATTTCTTGAAAATCATTTTTGAAACATTAAAAACTCCGAGTGAAAATTACTGTTAAGATGAGACCATGAATATCTTATGTTTGTAAATCTAGAAAATATTGTCGACTGTAAACTCAAGATCAATTTTTGTAAAAATACAGCACGCTCGACTGTTTTTTCAACGCTACATACGCAATTTAAATATACAATGTACCTTACACATGTATATCTCGTGTTATCTCGCGAACTGCAGCGAAATATCAAGACGCGTGTACATTCGCCGAGACCAGATAACAACGTGAAACATCTCTAATTCGATTATCACATTGTTCTGTGCGCACTTATTTTATAATATTAACCACCGGAGAAAAACGTGCACATTATACATCATTGACCTTTACCAGGAGGTTTTGGACCGCAGTTCGTAGTCCAATGACGTACGTCCGTTTTAACATTGATCTCCGTGTCCGGTCATCGTTTCGTTATTATCGTCGGTGTCTGGTGGTGTAAATAGCTCAATCACAATGATCGAATCTGACAAGTTGCGTGGTAAACGATATGAAATGTGTGTATAAATTGGTAACTAATTTATTGCTGATACAAAAATCGTTAATCAGACGCGAAGCATAAACATAATAAATCATAGCAAATATACAACAGCAAAAATTAAATAAATATAGTGAGTAAGTAATTTATCCTTTTCGGCTATCAATATGATAAATGGATAACGGTGTAACAAATAAAATAAAATGGAATAATAGAAAAAGTTCATTATGGTGTGGAGTGCCTTTTCTATAAACAACGAGAACCTAACACGTAGATATAAAAGATAACATACAAAAATAAACCTCAAAATAATTATAAAAACGAATTTGCGGTACTGTGGAAAAATAACGATTTATAGATTATAATAACATGAATTTGTGATATTGATAGAGCGCAGCGACATCTAAATCATTCGATATTAATATTCACAAAACAGTCAATTTACAAAAATTGAGATATTATGCGATATGTGTGTGTGGTGCGCTTATACATCGCTGACCGTGAACGTGTGCGATTACCTATTATATGATATATTAAATAAAAATGTGAACAATAATCCGAACAAACCATGTGAACGCAGTTACGACGCGGACGACCATAGTAAATTCGGATTGTGAATATAATCGGCGATCTTTTAATCTCCTATTTCTCTCTCTCTCTCTCTCTCTCACACACACACACACACACACACACACATCAATCCCTCTCGACGTTATACTTGCTAAATATTAAATATAATAATCTGTATATAATAAGACATCAGGGCCGTAAAGCACTGCACGAATTGATCTTTACTCAATTGGCTTTCGACAAAAGTAACAAGTACGTAACCGTTACGTGGATACGCGTCAGGTTAAATTTTGCAACCGAACTTCCGTTTCGCATTCGTTTTACCGGTAGAACAAATCGAATTACTTGCTGGTGGAACGCATATGCGTTACATTGTTAATTTTACGCGTTCGGCGTTTCGTATTCAACGTAATCTCGATACGAGCAATTAATTACCAGCTCCGAAGGGTCAGAAACGAGGAACGCGTCGACGTTTCGACACCGTCGGTTAGCCGGACATTGCAACAGCGGGATGAAAGAACGGCGCTAGGATAAAGAGATAAGAGAATATGTCTGTATTATGAGAGATTTTTGCGGGTGAATGCGAAAAATCGTTGAAATAAATATCGAGTCTTGTCGAAGTTTCGCGGGACCATGCGTCAGTTATATAAATGAAAATCGATTGAAGGTACACGTTAAATAATTCACGAATCGATTTGTATGAAATCAAAGACTACATTGTGCCACGCGTATATTAAAGACGTTATTCGCGATCGATTTCAGGATTCCTCGACATTCCGACCGTAGTATACCAAATAGGCACACAGACAAATATTTTGGTTTTTTCTTCGTCACGCGTTGAAATGTTAAATTTTTACCGCTATTGCCTATTAATGATACGACTTTGGGTCATTAGAATTGATAATTATTTATTCTGGACATACTTGCGATTATCGCACGTCAAAATTCTAGCTACACTTCGAGATGGTACCTTTTCAAATGCCTGATGAGACATCATCGCAAGAACGAACGCGAGTACACCTGTAAGACCACGTTGTCGCTTTCGATGTGGTCTAGGTTGATTTTTCGTGTTTCGTTAACACTTAAGTTTAAAAAGTTTTAATTCTTCCGTTAAAATCCTGAAATCAGCTATAACCCGAGACCTAAGACTCAAACATGCAGCTTCACGTGTCCACCTGTTATATGGTATCAATACAGCAATCTATTTGCAGTCGATTCGTGATTTGTGAAACGTAACTGATGGGTACCTCACGATCGTACCGGTTTTGAAAAATGATTACTCCGCTGCGGTTAACATATTTCCAAGGCGTTCGATCGTAATCAATAAACGTTACACAAAATGTGTTGCATGTGTACAGTTGCGTATAAAAGTATATAAAAGCATTAAATTACCGCGGTCCGACTGCCTGATAAAACGTTAAAACCCGATCAATCTAACTCGGTTATATGGTGATAAATAATGGAAAAAGGACGAACCGTAGGCCGTATGAAACGCGGTGCGCATTAAAATGTGCCAATGTTTGCTCAAAAACCATTTTAGCTTAAACATGCATTATTGATTTATACAGTAATTAAAAAATGTCGAAAGTTCTGTACAAATGATTCCGCTCCCGACTAACAAACCATCCAAATTCCTTAATTTCAACGCTAAATTTCGAGGCCATTCCTGGTGATCCTCCTTGTATGATAATTAAAAATGGTATCATGACTTAAATCTAAACAAATAGATAAATTATAATCAAAAATAAACAAATCCGCAAGCTAAGTGTCACCATTATATGACTATTTTTTTCATGTGCCTTATACCACAAATAATATATAACTGCACATATGTTTATTGTAATAATTAAAATATTTATTTTTTGTTTCTAAATAATATTAAAAAAAATGTAATCCGTAAATTTACGTAATCATTATCAAACATCGTTTTATGTTTGAAATATCAACAGTGGTATTAAACAAAATATTTTACTCCCACAACGAAGCCAAACAAAGCATCATGTTCTAGATGCTCTAGTATACTCGTATCATTATTTCGTTTATTAAAACCGCAATTTTCATAAAACTTACTTCAATGGATGGATGGATTATAATGAATTTCTTAAAAGATTTTAAAGAATGGTATTATAAAGTACTTACATATATATATATGTGAAATATTATGTCAAACAAATTAATCTAGTTGGTTTCTATGGTTACGGTTACAAATAATTTTTTTTTTTTTTTGTGTTAACAGCCCAAGGGTTGGATAGCAGCATTCTGATGTTGGTATAATTTCCTTACAAATTATTAAAAACGAATAATTACATGGAAAAAATTAGAAAATTAAGTAACATAAAAAAAAACATGAACTACCTAACTAATGATTTCTTGGGTCTGATTACTGAAGAAATTACTGTCATCAAATTAAAAATTACACTCGTAAATGTGGTATTAATTTACATGGTAAATATAAACCTTATGTTTTCGATGCTTTTTTTTTATCAAAAAATTAAAAAATACACAAGTATCGAGTGATGATGACGTAATAAATTCGTTTACGCTTGTCGCATAGGACGATTTAATTTCGTTAAGTTCAAGTCTAGTATTATTGAGTGGACAAAGTAAAATAATACGTTACCGATAAATTCAAAACTCACGTTCCTTCGTACCAAATTTCAAGATTCTGAGTTCACGGGAAGTACCCTGTAGGTTTTGATTCCCTTGCGAGTTTCAAAAATTTACGAACATTTGTGGCATTAACATCTGTATCTTTTGATTGTGTTGGTTTAAAAGTTTGATTTTTTCAGAGCTCTAAGAAACAATAGACCTGAGTAGTTGATATAAATGTCAGCTTGATAAATCCACGCGTCCTTAGAAAAAGGGTCTTGACAGATGGACGGACGAACAACAAAGTGATCCTATAAGAATTCCGGTTTTTTTCTTTTCAAGGTACGGAACCCTAATGAGTCTGTTGTCGCCAAAGACGAGAAAATAACAAAGATAGCTATAAATAATTAAGTTTTGATAAAACCTTGTTTCCGTGATAATATCAAATAAAATTAATATATCTTTTTCAATTAATTATGATCAATTTCAAGCGCATATTTTATAGCTTTATACAAGAGTATTTAAGACCGTATTTTGAAGATTTCATTTTGTTCTAATAAATCCATTCCTTCATAACGTGTAATTATATCGATGGGGCATTTATACATATGGTACTACAACCGTACATCAGTCCAGTGTGATCGAACGTCACTGGTCAAATGTTAACATCGCGCCTGATGGCTTCAGACATCCGTCCGTATAAATTTATATTTTTTATACTTAAATAATATCGCTTATATTTTTCAGTACTGGAATGATGTAGTTGTTATCTGATCGGGTGATGCTGAGTGATGAACGGCGACCAAGAGTTGGTGACCGTCTTGGCAGTCTGCGGCGTAGCGGCCTTAGCCGCGTTCATAAACGGATACGTCTTATTAGTCATCCTTCTCTCCAAACAGGTAAGATCATTATATTATATTCTGTAACTGTAAACATTATTATAATTTATGTATATGTGTGCGCGTGTGTGTATTTAATATCATCCGTTCAAGTCATCACGTTTTTTTTTTATGTCTTTAAACAATAAAAATAGTTTCGTGACCATACTGTCATATGAACTTCATTATTTCAACAATTGGTGAAAACCGCAGTTTTCTTATCATCCCGTACCGCATCCCTTACATTACGTTTATACTACAAAATATCATCTTATAACCCGTGTAAAAGAAAAGCGTTTTAGAAAATTCAAAACTTACACTACAGCATGTCTATGTTGTACCCATATTCTGACTCCTTTTTTTAAAAAAAAAAAAAAAAAAAATCTAATCAGTCACAAGACTCAAAATATTTTTAATATTTTTTCGCTTTTTTTTTTTTACTTCAATGGCATAATATTTGTACATAGAAACAAAATATATTTTTTCGTATACATCATATTACATAAGGCAATTTTATTTTTAATATTTATCTATTTATCAGTACTCGATTTCGAAGTGGTGTATTGAAACTGCCGATTTCCCAAGAAGAATATTTTTCTAAAAACGTTAGGACGTTATCGATTAGATTATACTGAAAAAATTTGTGCGTCTTTGTTCAAAAACTGACTCGCGATTTATAACGTCTCGTCGGCCGTTCGTCCGAAACAAACAAAGCTATTCCAACAAATAAACCATTAGTCCAAGAAAATATGGTTGTGTCGATCTATCAAAATATTTTATTGTTATTCGACCAAGTTTTGTCCTGTCAAAATTGTCGAATTCAATCGTTTTATTTATTTATTATTTTCATTTTTTTTTTCTAGATTATGAGTGAAACAAGAAATGTATTGGCTTTACCATTATGTGTTATTTTTTTTGTCTTTGTACACGATTTCAACCAGAAGGATTGTTCCGATCATCACCAAATAAAAATTAAAATAAAGGAAATGGGTTCTAATTAATACTCTGTGAGGGGGCTATTTTATAAAATTCCCAAACAATTTTCTTAATACTGTGAAACTTAATGAAAACTTATAAAAAAAATGGCAACATTTACGGAATACCAATTTTTGTTTTCATCATAACACAAAAAATAGGTATCGTAGAATCTTAAAATATTTACTAAATTCTTATCTCATTGTTTTTTACGGATTGTTAAACTTCAAAAGATTTTTCTGAACTATTTATAGAAAAATTAAATGTTCATGTTTTTTAGCTTCTTCTCAAAGATTATATATACCTCATATATATATATATATATATATATATATATTACTGATTCACGAAATAAAATGGAGTTTAATTTAAAAAAAATGTATGAAAATTTGAATGTTAAATTTTGATATAAATATAAAAATCCACTACATCTTTATAGTCAAAATTCATAACATTTTTAAATTTAATTTTCTTTCTGGTTAAAAATTGGATACCTCAACATTTTTAATAATAATTTTTTGCAGCCAATAAAAAAAAATTGATTAGATTTTCACAAAAATGTTTGATAAATTATACAAATTTATATTTTGAAATTGAAGTCGAATATTTCAACGAATTCCCATCAAATTATATTAGTTATTTGCTTAATATCATTTTTTAGTTTAGCAATCTTTTATTGAAATTCATGTGGTTTTTAGGTACTTGAAATTGTTGATTTTTACAAATTTTAGATTATGTTTATGAATGTTAAAACGTTATAAGTTTAACCAATCTTATTCAGAAATTTTATTCTCCTACAATATCAATGATCTTGAGACATAGAAACTGATCCATGTGACTTTTTTCATTAATTAACTCTTAATTAAGAATAATTTTTTCGAGAGCAATGGTACATTGGATTCAAGATTAAAAGACCACTACATTAATACTTTCACTCATCTCTATAAGTTACCCGACTTAGGAGTGTCGGCTCTCTTCTTATGTTTTATATTATTTATTGCTACCGGGTTAAAGTTGTAGTAAAAAAATCATATTTTGCCATTTCATAAGCTTTTTTCTCTTTTTATTGGTCCAAATAAAACTGAATAAAAAATAAATGAAACGATTAAATCGTATTTTAAACCGACTGCATCAACGTTTACTAAATTTATTTACATAGGACATGTTTAGACCTTTTGCGTAAAAAATTTAATTTAAAATTAAACATAGGTATATAGAGTATACAATTTGTTATTCAAAAACTAAATGTAGGAATTTATTTATTGTTTCAAACAAATATCAAAGAGAGTATACAATCAAGGCGATTATGAAGAAATAATGTAAAAAAGTTAATTAATACGTTTTCAAACAGAAAATTTAATTACAACTACCAGCATTACTCCCGTGGTATAATAATAATAATAATAAAAGTTAGGTCGTACTGACCCGAAAAAATAAATGTTATATTTCATCGTTTTACGAGTAATTTAATTTAATGATTGAAACAAACAAATATTAACACTGGTAAACAATTCGAAGATTAATATTACGCTCATTGATAAGTCTTCGACAAACTAATTAATGGTGAATTTGGAAATTAATTGTTTCGGTGTGACGGTTTATACAAAACGAAATTTTGTTTATTTATTAATTTCTAATAGAAAAGTATGACAATTAGTAAAGTAGAGAGAAACAAACTCGAGACCTTCGAAATGTAGTTTTATCGAAAAATGCTTCAGAATAAATGGACTGAAAGAGTGACAAATGAAGCAGTATTAACTAGAGTAAAAGAAAAACGACAATCGTGGCATCATAGTATTAAGGTTAGAAGATATAATATGCTAGGGCACATATTACGCTATGATAGTTTAACGAAAAATGTCATAGAAGGTGACGTAGGTTATATTGGAAGCAGAAGGCCAAGGATGGAATATATGAAAAAATGCATGGTTGACATAGGAAAGGATAGCAACAAGGAACTAAAAAAATTAAGTTATAATAGTGAAGCATGAAGAACTACAGCAAACCAGTAAAACGACTGAAGACGCGAAGAAGAAGAAAAGTTTGGGAAAACGTTCGGTAACGCACTACGGTACGACTGGGAATCGTGACTTGCAAATTAAATCGGATTTTCGACTAAAAGTCTACGCTTGCACAGCACGTCTCGCGGAGCGCGTCTAACGTTTTGAGGAGAAAATTAATTTTGAAATTTGCAAAATCGTTTTTTGGTCATCTCGGACCAATGCGTGAAGATCGAAAACGGACGCTGTATAAAACGATTTCGGTTTTAATTCCACGCGGGAATCGTTCCGATACGGAACAATGATGACGCAGTCTTCGGGTTCGGAAACTCGGTCGAGCGGAAGCGTGGTTATTCGTCCAAAACGTATTTGTCTTTTCTAACGTACGTGCAAATCGCGCTGAGAAGAGTTGGGTCGTGACAAGCCGTTTTGATCCGATACGGACGACAAGACGTTTTTCTCGTTGCATGATATGGTATCTCTTGTTCAATAAGTTCATTAAAATGTTATACCTACACGCAGTGGCGTATCAAGAGTATGACGAACTGTGCCTATGCCAGCGGCGCGAATTGCAAAGGAACGCGAAATCGTGCGAAAGTCGTATTTTTATCCTAAAATCAAAATTTTTCTGTTATACTTTTTGAAATACATAGATGTTGTCTATTTGTACACTCTACATTTGAATTTAATGATGAAATTATGAAATAGTATAAAAGTATTTAAATAAAAATATTCATATGAAGGAATAACCGATGAATTTGCCAGTCATAAAGCGAGAAAAGCAAATTTTCAAAGTTTAAAATTAATACTGTGATAATAACTTAGAAATATAAATTGTATACTTAAAAAAATAGTAAAATTATTGGTTAAAAAAAATATCATAATATCAAATTTTAATTGGTTAAAAAGCGTTGTTTTCTAAGTTTGCCAGGAATGTTAACGAATCTTTCTACACCACTGTCTACTCGTAAACGATCGCAGCACCGATTGTGTTCTTTTCTCTTTTGACCATCGCGCGCGTTACGTGTTTGCCCGTCGCGACGTCATAAGAAATTTCTTCAACATTTTTTTCGGATCGAATGTTGCGGAGAAGCGCAAGTTTAACCGTGTCGCAGCCGAATAACAAATCGGTCGGCCGACGGAACCTTTACCGAAACGGCTAAGACATCTCATCGGCTTTCGCGAAATTCCATCACCCCCGGGTTAGTCCGACCCGTCCGTCGTTGACGAGTCGAAGTGAACGGAAATGGATTCTGAATTTCAATTTTACACGTCGCAAACCCCGTTCGATAGCCCGGAATTCGACGGACGCGGTTTTACGCGTAATGTTTTTGGAAAATAAATTACGAGTATATATTTCCGAAAACCCGTCGATATTCTTTCGGGTGGTGCTTCGCGGGCGACTAGTTCTTAGAACAACACTTGACCCGTGAACGAATGCGTTCTAAATGTAATTGTATTATTGTCGAAACGTCATCGGTCGACCGCCAAAAACATTTCCACCGAATGACGTAACCGAACCACATCTGCCCGCTATAATTGCATTTCGTAAGAAATACGAGAACATTTTAGTCGGAAATGAGTTTTCTTTTATCGTATTGTCGCGTTGTTTTTCTACCGTTTTACTCCGGTCCGTGCGTTACCGACCACGTGACCTATTATTACGTTTAATAAATGTTTAATTATTATTTTTATAATCATCATTACGATTTTCTTTTCCGAACGTATTCATTACATAACCGATTAAAAAGTAAATCTGAAACGTTGTGCGAACAACCTAGAAAATTATTTCTCAGCGGTGATGGAATTGATGTATAGGTATCGTAGTAAATCATATTTTAATTCGAAGAACAAATCAAAGCAAAACACCCAATCTATAGTATCGTTTTGGAGTGTTGAAAACAAACGATAATAATTATCGTTTGTCTCCAACACTCCTAGACAATTATTGTACATCGGTTTACACGTTCGATCATTGTTCAATGTTATTACATGTCTCTTACAATCGATCATCGGTGCAAATAGCTAAATCGATACAGTCGCAGTTGTCTCATGAATCCGACGAGTTACGAGGTGTATGAAATAAAATGTATGTAATCGTGCATAATTATTACATATTGGTGAATTTTCACTAAAAAAAAATAGGAGTAACTAAAAATAGTAAGCGCGTATAAATTGGTATCCATGTATTGCTAGAAAATTATCACCGTTGTGAATACCGAAAAAATAAAGTCTACCTCATCGGTAGTTTTTAAGGACATTTTAAGAGAAATGTTGTTTCCAACGATGTGTGAGAAATTATTCCAATTTGTTTTGCCTGGTGTGAGAGTAGAGTAACATTTTGGGTGGATAGTTTGATTGTGTAGAGTGAGTAAGACAGGAGTATGATCTGTAGAGAGGTCGAAAGAATTTGCTATGTCAAAATTTGTATGGTTAGGTAATATGTGAATGAAAAAATTAATGTTCTATTGGAGTGGGCAGGCCAGTAGGTTGGTCCAAATGGGAATAGATGTTTAAGGTTGTTGCTTAGAAGAGAGTTGAAAAGAGAGCGACCTCTAGTGTTAGTTATTCTAGAGCCTCTGTTTTGGTGTTTTGAGTTGAATTCTACACCTGATAAAAACGTATTTCCAAATGTTTGAAATTAGAGATTAAAGTCATCGATAGTTATTTTATTAGTCTGATATGAAGGACAGTATACTGCAGAAATTCTAGTAGGAATGTGATTTATCAATAAAGAAATGTTTGTAGCTTGAAGGAAAGATATTTGGAACGGCGGAAGAGCAGTATGATTTATGTTACGTTTTATTAGGATTGCAGATCCAGCATGTGCTGTACGATCAGGATGATCACAGTGATGCATTGTATAGCCTGGGATTTGGAATGAGGAGAGTAGTGTTAAGTAAGTTTCACTAATCAAAATTATGCCTATTTGTTTATTGGTGATTAAGGCTTTAATTTCATTTTTTTATCTAGTTAGACCATTTGCATTCCAAAGAAAAATTTTAATAGGAAGAAGGATAGTTTGATTATTTATCATTTTTTGAAATGAGGAGACTATTTATGAAGATGGTTAGAAAAGAAATAAGGGGATTTATTAAATTTTTGAGATCATCAAGGAAGGAGGAGAGTTTTGGTGGGGGAAAGTCGAGTTCTGTTGGATGCTGTATATTAGAGTGATTTTTTGGATTTTCAGTGGTTGCTTGTGCATATGATTTAATGTGAGGAGTTGTAGAATTTGAAATAGAGTGAACAATAGATTATGGGCTTACATTAGTATGTTGCGGAACTGGGTGATCTTGTCGTTTGGATAATTTTCTTGGTTGAAGTGAGGCTTGGAATTCCTTATGAGTTGGACAACCTCTGTAGTTTGCGGGGTGGTCGCCAGCACACAGGGCGCATTTGGGTGGAAGGCTGGAGGATTTCTGACAGGTGCTTTTTACCACAACGCACATATTTAGATTAGTGATTGCAGTAGGATCTTGTATGACCAAAACCTGGGCTACGAAGACATTGGATAGTTTGTTTGTTTACTCGAGGTTCTTCGACTTTAATTTTAGTGAATATCAAGAATTTAATATCAAAAATTATTTTATTATTAAGGGCAGATTCTAGATCGATAAGAAAGAGGGGGATAGGCGATTTGGTACTGTGTTGGATAACATTTGTTATTCTTTTTGGAGTATAACCGAGTAACAGTAGTTCTTTTTTAATATCTTCAATCGGGGTAGTATGATATAAATTACGCACAACTACATGATATGCTCTATCCTCTTTTAATTGATAAGTATGAAAGTCTGCTTTGTTGCATTGTAAATATTTTATAACATCCCGGTATAAATCTGGTAATCGGGTAGCTAGTTTTACACCGTTTATTGAACTTTTATAAGAAAACTGTTCACGCTTTGTTACTTCTTTGATTATATTACAGAGTGCATTAAAATCATTTACTGTACGAATGAAAATTGGAAGGGAGATGGTATTACTATGGTGGGAGTAGGTGCCCTTTGTTCAGGTTCTAGCTCCATCTTATTAGAATTGTTATCAAAATTAACAGATTCCTCGATTTGATTTGAAAACAGGAAAAATCGGTTTTTTGAGACATATTTTTGTTGGTGGTTAACTAAATTTGGTGATTGATAAGAAACGTTTTGCTCCAGTGGAGGTGATGAAACCATCATTTTAAATTGATTGTGTAGGTGAATTAGGTGATTTATTTGGCGCACTCTGTATACGTAACTCTTGGATAATTAGTGGGGTGATGGTTTTAATTTTATCCGGCATGATGTTGTTAGTGGTTTGTTATCGTGAGATAACGGCAATTACGTGACGTCCAGACCGTACTGATTTATCAATGACGAATTTAATTAGTTAATTATTTTATCAATTTTGATACCAGAAATAGGATAGCGGAGCTCCTATACGTTTGAGAGATTTGCAGTTTGGCTGGTTAAAAAATTGGTACTTTTTTGAGATAGTGTGTTTTTATTAAAAAAAAAAACAGGTGAAAATACAATTAAAGGTAGTGGAGCAAGATAATAGCAACGGAGTACGGTATTGCATTATTGACGGTCGCGACCGAACTGTGTACATAGCATTTAAATTAGTTTTATTTCGCGTTTATATGGCACACGACAAATCACAAGAAAACAGCAAATTAAAAATAACCAAATCGTTGATGGAAAATTTTTGTACGGATTTTGATTTAAAATCGGTTTTCGTGGTTTTCGGTGTGCCGTAGAATTAATTTTAGTCCTTAAAGAGTTGAAAATTCCACTGGCGTGGAACGATGTCAATGGTACATCGACTCGGCCGCGGTAGAATAACCTAACCTCTCCATTTTACAGACGAGTTCGCCAATCAACGTGTTGCTCACGCACTTGAGCGCCGTGGACCTGATCGTGTGCATCGCGGTCCTGTTGTCTATTTTACCGGAAACGTTCAACCAGTACGAGAAAGTCGCCCCGTGGTTATGCCCGGTTCACGGATTCCTGTTCAACTTCCTGCACCCGATGGCCATCTGGACGGTGTGCGGCCTGAACTGCGACAGGTCGGTATCCGGAACTGAGGGCGTAGTCAAAGATTATTTTTTGGGGCTGGGAAAAGGGTTAATATATTTTGCCTGTATTTTTTATTACCTGTTTACTTACCGACAGAGATTTTTTTTAACGGGAAGGGTAAACCTAACCTAACCCCCCCCCCTAAACCGTACTTACGTGATTGATCCGAACATCATAGCCCGCATAGTATGCCAAACCTAAGCCGAAACATATTATTGCTCACGTACATTTTAGTATCACCATCCCACAACGGGTTAGGGGTGCATCAAATGGATATCATTTGAAGGGCGAAACAATACGGGTACTCAAACAGTCGTCGAAAGCGTACAGGTGTTACAGAGATCGACTTTACGGGCGTTTCGTGTCGAATTTCGAAATTGTAAATAGACGTTTTCGAGTACAATGAACTATTATCCTTTCCGTGTATTCGAAGCGAAATGTGTACGATAATTTCGGTATCGTTGATCGAACGCATGTTGTTACGTTCTAATTTAGACTGTAGGAAAAAATCGATTGGCCAAAACCGTTTCTGATCGAGAAATAGTACTGCACGAGTTTTGTTAATTTTAACAGATAAAACGAACAAAACAAATGTCATTCGCACACTTTGTTCAAAGTAAAATTACAAAAACTTTTTTTTTTCTATTAATTGATTAATAATTTTAAAAACTTCGGTAGACTTCGGACCACTACAAAAGTTTTCCTTTATTTCATATAATAGTACCTATTGGATATTTTATAAGTATTAAAAGATATGTATATAATTTAACACCATATTTAAGATATATTTCTCAAGCTCGAAGTAAAAACTTTCACCTTACCTTACGTGTTCAATACTCACCATTACCGAAAGTGCAGTTGACATTTCTCGTTCTACTTTGGAGAAATAAACTATCTTTAGAAATCAATCCGTGAGATCAGACGATATTTCAAAAACATTAACTGATTAATAATTGTATAATTGTGTAATCGTTGTTGTCTGTCGGTCTTCTTTTTCAGATATTACGCGATCGCGGCACCATTGCATTATGGCACTTTAGTGAACAGCCGCAAAATCATGATGGGCCTTTGCGGCACGTGGATTGTGTGCCTGTTGATCTCAATGCCACCAGTTTTCCGGTTAGTTCCTTACAGTTATCAACCCGGCTTGCCGGTCTGCACGACGGATTTCAGCAAAGGTCGAGCCACAATATTTTACAGCATTTTCTACACGACCGTTACACTAGTACTTCCTGGTGTCATCATACTCGGATGCAATATAAAGGTTGGTTGTTCGGAACTTAAAAACTATGTCGACATTAACCGAAAAACATTAATGAATCAAGACTAAATAATTAACTAGCTAACATTCTGCGAAACAAATTTCAACTGTTTTTTATTTTTTTCTTTGCGATCCAACCTACCAGTACTTATTTAATGCGAGTATTTATAAAAACGTTTTCGTAGTTTTACTTCTTAGAAAATAAAAAATAGTTCTTAATATTCTGCAAGTCACTAAGCACACACTTGAAATAGGTGACAATATCCATTTTCAAAAGTCTCCGAAATCTTCTTTTTTTTTGTAAAACTTTAACATTTCCCAAAACGTGACGGCACTGTCAATCCGTAGTTTTTATAACACGGCTGCAAGAAAAAAAGGCAATAATAGAAACATCCGTTTTACGAAACATTCCCGGCGACCACGATGGCTGCCGTCATTTTCTATCCTCGAACTCGGCGCTTTTCCATTCATCAACGCGCTGCAAACCCTATATTTCCTTTACTCGTCGCTAACAAACGTATAAAAATTTTTAAAACCAACACGGATCGTGCACCAATGCTAGAGGACTGCTCACACGCACGTCAAACGTAATACGATGCAACGCCTATAGCATCAAAACAAGATATTTCCGTCGAAACGTACGATGCACTATCACTTTGACCCAGGGGTGGCCAACTTCTATAGACTTGCAATCGATCTCCGAGTATTTCTAAGTCGTCGCGATCGACCAAAAAATATATATTATAAGTACATGCACGTTACACTTCTTTTATTACTTTTAATTCGCAGTTTCACACTACATGTATTTTAATAAATTTGATTACAAATTATTACTTTTAACCGATTACTATTTATTACTCTAACTATACTACTACTTTTATTATTACCACTGTTAATATGTTAATTTAATCATTCAATGAGATGTTTGTGCTTGAATTCGATTTGATAATTTCATTTTTATATTCGTGGGACATACGAAGATACATATATAACATTTTATTAGTTTACTGAAAAAAATTGAAAAATTGAAGAAAACGCGAAAGGGTGTCGCGATCGACTGGTTGGCCACCCCTGCTCCGACCGTGCGACACTAACCGACGCGATATCAACAAACCGCGCGGAACGTTCGAACCGTGTTTAGGACTTAAAAAAAAAAAAATAATAAAAGCGGTTTGACATAAATGTTGTTTCGTAAAACTGGACGTCGCGCCCGCAGGTATTCACGATCGCCCGGTACCACAGGCACCGGATAGCGTCGGCGATCTTCGAGGTGACGCTGTCGGCGCAGGTGACGATCACGCACCAGCGGAACCCGTTCTTCCTGCCGACCGCGATGGCCAACAAGCTGCGCCGGAACAACGCGTTCTCGGCCGTGTTCCAGATCATCGGGTCGCTGGCCGTGTTCTACGCGCCGTACTACGCGGTGTCCCTGTACGAGTCGCTGTGCGCGGCGGTGGGCGCGGCGCCGCGCACCGACCCGGCCGTCAAGTCGCTGGCGTTCGCGCTGATCACCGGCTCGGCGCTGTGCAACGGGCTGCTGTACGGCATCAAGAACAAGTTGCTGAAGAAGACGTACCAGAACTACCGGCGCAAGATGATGACCAAGTGCGAGGTGAACCAGGAGATCCAGGCGCGCACGCCATCCGCGTGCGGATCGCGCAGACCGTCGCTGACCCCGGTGGCGGCCGGCCAGAGTTGCGGCACCGCGGCCGCCGGCTGCGGCGGGAGTGGTGGCAGGACCGCGGCCGCGTCGTGCCGCCGGCAGTCCAACGTTAGCCTGGCCGAACCGGTGCCGGCCGCGGCC